AAACGTAAGATCGCCCTACTACTAGTGAGAATAATGTGCTACTAACTTTAACACGTTAAGATTTACAGGGTGGCAAATCGGACGATTAGGTTCCTCGTTGTTCGAAAAGAAGCCGTCTCCTGTCATCGTGGGTGATCGGATCCCCTTGCGGCACCCTTCGCAATCTTCTACGTCTCCCTTCGCCGATCTTGCACGATCCCAACGTTCTACCCTCGTCCTACGGTGTTAAACTCCGAGAGAACGGGGAGAGGGAGGAACACCCAGCGCGGCGAGGAAAGAAGTTTGAATTTTCCAACGTCGAGTTTGACTTGCAGAGTGCTAATATTAAAGTTCGTCGTGTGCCGCCCGGGAACGGAAAGGGCCAGGGCCTTCCTCGGAACGGGGACACGGAACGGAGAGAGGTGCCCTGCCGCGCCTCGTGCATTAGCTGAGGCTCTCGGGATTAGATTAGAATTTGTTAGGGGCGTCTCTTCGGCGGTAACTTCGTCCCAGGAACGCCGCCAGTTTTGTTTCATCGCCCACGGGCGTGAGAGCTTTTCGGAAACTTTATTACAGGAAGTTCCGTCGGGACGCGCTGCCCTGCTACTAGGAGACGAAGTACAACGTTTTTAGAACCGACCCGTCGAAGCAGACCGGAAAAGCCATGAGACTTTTGTCCTATACTGTTTGCACACTGTTATCTCTGTCTCGAATTGTAAATATTATCCTGCTTGGACAATTTCCAATGAGGGCGAAAATCAAAATGTTGTAAAATAAAACAGTTCTTAAAGGAAACGATGATATTTATATTTGTTTAGTATTTGATAGATAATTGTGACATTTGGAAAAGTGTGTGTTTATAATAGTTTCTGAACACATTTGTTCATTTACGGAACTGATTAAATCACTATTAGACATAAATAACATCTATAAATGCAAGATTTGTAGATTTTTCAACTATTTAATTTCTATTTAATTATGTAATTTCTTAATGATAGACAAAACACACACACACACACAATATATGTGTGTACGCATGTTTATATTTTTTTTCCTTATTTTTTTATTATCATTATTCTTTCAAATAATTTTCGAATTTATAATTAATAAACGATACATATATTTGGAAGATCAATCTATATTGTAAAAATTTCTAAGTCACTACTTTAAATAATTTTCGTAGCAAAATACAAATATGTATCTTTTCAAATGCTTATAACTTATAACTGATTAATAGTAAATAGTGTGCCTCAGCCAAAAAGGTCCTTGAAACTGAAGTTCACCTTTCTGAAGTAGTGGCTTTCAAATTCTACTCACGCGATATTAACAACAAACTTTCCTTCTTCAGAAGAAGAACTAGTATGGTTTGTCTATCTTCACGAGATACACTTTACCGAGATTTGCTTCGTTCTTGCTGTACTTCACGCATTAAGCGAAACACTACGGGGCTGGATTAGAATTTGTCAGAGCTGTCGTGCAATAACTTCGTTCCGAGGAAATGCTTGGAGTTTGGCTTTAAGAAGTTTGCCTCTCGTCTTACGATAAATTGAAACTAATTTACACCACGCATAATGAAGTTCTTGAAGTGCATCTCCGAGATCCTGGGAGGAGAGTGTCAAGAGAAAAATTTGTAACCTCGGAAAGTAGAATGTATCGTGTGTTGCACACGTGGAGTAAAATGCTACTATTCGGCGAATTATTACTCCCAACGCGGTTAAATAAAGTATTACTTCGTTGAAGTAAACAAATTACAATTTCGATAAATAATTTAATGCCAGGATGTGATTAATCCCTGACGAATTTCAAAATACAGAATACTGCAGTTAATAATTTTTTTGTTATGTATAATATTATAAATACGTTATGTTGTGATTACAAATAATAATTAATATTATTGTAACGATATACTAATCAGATGATTGGGTTTAACAATTATTATTTTGGTAATGTAAATATTGGTAATTTTCGAAATTTTATCTTGGGAATTTTGGTAATTTAATCTTGATAATCAATTTAAACGGTTATTTGAAACAAAGTTGAACTTTAGCGGTTATTTTGAATTCTAGCATTGCAATTATCGTTCTGATACCGTGCTAAAAACAAAATATATTTCAAATGTACATCGATAAAATAGCTTTCTTGTATTATACTCTTGTCCCTCATCTACTCTTGTAACAAATGTCGATCGTGAGTTCGTTTCAAATTGACAGTTTTACGATCACGTTTTAAGTCTCTTATTTTTGTGCCTTTCTGAAGCTGAAGTACGAAAGAGCTTTTCTTTGTCGTCCTACTTCGATCGTCAACAACAAACAAATCTGACTTTCACTTCTTAAGTCAATTCGATTTTCGTTATGGCGAGGATAATATTTGTATAAGTTGCAAAATTACTTTAACGGCTCCTTCTCATCTTGAAAATCGAATGCGATTCAAGAAAGCCTACAATTAATACACTTCTTTTTATTCTAGTCTACTTAAAATCGAATTGACTTCAATTCGAATTGTTTTCAAAACAGCGCAGCTACACAAGTAATTGTAACAGCTAATTGCTCTGGATATTTAATGCTTTGCGACCGTGTAAATTTATTTGACAAAACAAATGACTCTACTTTACGTAAAATATGTTTTTAAAAAGCGTAATGAATAACAGAAATTTATTACTGCAAATACTACAAATACTAAGATAAGAAAACAAAAATTGTTATAACATTATTTAAGTTTGTAAAATAATCTTAGAGCTCCAGAGTTTAAGTGACTCGACAATTTATTGATAATTGCGCGTTCTCTTAGTTACTCTTCAAATATTTACTCTAATATCACATTAACCGGAATGATCTTGGGTGAAAGCGTGGTACATCGTAAACGCGAACTACCTATTAGACTAGGGAAGATAATACAAGGATGTAGGCAAAGGTTTTTAAAAGATTCGAAGCTTACAATTTTCTAAATAAAAATCAGCGAGAGAAAAATTTTTACGAAAACATAAAATACTTTAAATGAATACACAGTAAAAGAAATGCAAATAAACAAAATAAATAAGAAATAAGAAAAAGAGAAATCAAACCAAACTAATGTAAAAATAAATAATCAAATAAATTATTATATTAATATTATAAAGCAAACTATTTTTTACCAGTAAAACTACTAACAGATTTTGTCTTGATAAGATTTATATCTTCTTCTAGAATTTAAATCGTAAACTGATTCATAAATTTTAAAATTATAAATAAATTCATGTATTATATATATTTACATAGAAATAATTTTCTTTATAGTGAATTTGAAAAAATCTCTTAATGAATCCAACTTCATACCGCAAAAAGTAAAGATAGAAAGAATTTTGTCTACGCCTTTGCATAGTATAAGATAACAATACAGCTGGTAGAGCCAAGCTGTATAGTCGTTTCCATAGTCAGATGGTTTTGCGTTTTATGATAATGTTCTCACGTCAAACATACACCGTTATCTCCGACGTTTAATGCGTTTACTCGAAAATTTTCGTCGCGACGGTGTAGGTAAAATGTCACGACTCACCTTGCGCATTACAAATATTTTTTACGATGTTATTCCGTAGCGAGTTACGGCCGCAAAGCCCACCTTCGAGACTCGTTCCCCTCGTTTCCCTCGCCTCGGTGACGTAGAATATCATACTCGTCGGATTTTACGGGCCGCGTGTTTAAAACTCGCATGTTTAATTATTCCAGCGAAATGTAAACTACCCGAATTATGGAGCGAACTGCTTTGCGTGGCTTTAAAACTACGAAGGAGATACGATTATCCTTCCTAATGGTTACACCGAAGTTCATTAACGTAACTGCATACTATTCGCTCGTAATTTTGCACTACATATGTATGAAAAATCTTTTTCAGCCAAATTTAAATTGGAATAATAACGTATCATAAAAAAGTCAATCATTTGAATAACACAGAACTTTTAATTGAGTTTGTCAAGTAATTAAATATTCCAAAAACATATTCGATCTCACAAAATTGTTCATTATTCTGTAACAAGTACGTATATAAGTTTTGCTTCTTATCTTATTACATAAAATTATTAGCTATTAATTTTTTAAAATAACAATTTGATAATGAAGTTGCAACTTTTTATGATGGCAACGATAATTAATTAAAAGTTAAGATTAGGAATGTCACTTTTTAAAAGTGATTTGTCATCATCATTATTTATTGAAAAAAGTAACTCATTACTTATGATGTATCGCTTCGTTATTTTTAAAAGTAACGAATCGATATAGGTGGGGTGAAAAGTAACCTCCTTGGGAATGAAAAAAATTTTTTTCTTATGCAGAATCTCGCCCAAAATATGGCGTGTTCGCTCAGTACTAATCTTTGTAGCATCTGCTAGCTCGCGCACCTTCACTTTCCGGTCAGCCAACACCATTTCATGTATTTTTTTGACATTTTTCTCGGTAACCGCATCGGAGGGCCTGCCGCTGCGGACTTCATCGGTAGTGGAGTTGCGGCCACCACGAAACTCTCGAAACCAATATTTGACGGTGTAATCTGACGGAGTATTAGCCACATAATATTTATCCAACTTTTCTTTTGTTTCCTTCGCCGTTTTGCCTCTCAAAAAATAATGTTTTATGAGAGAACGAAAATCGTTTTCGCAAACACGTCAACAACAATCAGCTCTCAAAACAAAACTAAGGGCAGTATCGCACTGCCACTTGGCATGTCTGCCTAAATATGAACGGACTACAAGGCACCATAAACTTTTTTGCAGTAGTGGCGCATTCTGGCGGTCAAGAAGGTTACTTTTCACCCCATCTATATCACAAGAAATGAATTATTTTTTTCAGTAAATAATGCGTAATAATGACAAATCATTTTTCAAAAGCGACATTCTCAGTCTTAGCTTTCAGTTATCGTCATAAAAAATTGTAACGTCATTACTAAATCATTATTTTAAAAAGTAATGGTAAAGTAACTTCCTATTCCCGGCTATTATAGGTAGAATAATATAATATATGATATTGATAAAAATTTAATTTTAAATGACTTACCTGGCCATTTCTTTGAGGAATCGACTCGTAGTGTTCCTTCGCTTTGAATTTGATCCTTGCCGTTGGTGACGCGACAAGTATAAAAACCAATATCAGAAACGTCCAAATTTGTGATTTTTAATCTACTTCCTGCCAAGTTTTGCGCCACATGTTCATGCATCTGGAATGTCATATGTACTTGTGTTTGTATTTATTAAATAATAACTTTAGAATTAAAAAGAAAACTGAAAATGAAAGATAAGTACAAAAACTTATTTTTATAACAAAAATATATATACACTGAGAAAAAAGATTGTTAACTTAATGCGTTTAATAATGCATTTAGTAGATTATTTATTTTAATTATTTATATATTTAAATTAAGTATACGTAAGTTATGTCAACATATAATAATATATTATTTAATAAATAGATTTAATAAATAGAATTTATAGATTTAATAAATAGAATAATATTAAATATTATTTAATAAATAGAATATATTATTTGTTTAACAAATATTTACTTGACAGTCCGTGACCATTGCATTTAGTTGAATCAATTAATTTTTTTTTTGAAACAGCAACTTTTTTCTCAGTGTATACATAATTTTTTCATTGTAAAGTTCAAAAATTTGAAAAGTTAAAGAAAATCTCTCACGCACAAAACTCTGGAGAAATAATTGCAAATTAAAAATAGTTCAATAATTACAAATTAACAGTAGTTTAACAATTATATTACATACTTGCGCGTGTATTTTCTTAATAGTGATTTTTGGTCGGTTTTCTTCTAATGGTGCTTCATTCTTGTACCATCGTATCTTTGTTGGAGGTGGATCGCCCACGACTTCGCATCGCATATGAGCAACGCCGCCGGCATCCTTCGAGATATTTGTCAGAGTCCTTACAAATTTTAAAGTGCCACTTTTCGTGCCGGATGCAGCGTCCACGTCAGTCCTGCGAAAAAGATAAAATGTATATTTTACAGTATATTTAAGTCAAAAATGTAAAATATAAGCAACTTTTTAAAAATATTTTTATTTGTAATGTAAGTATACATATATATAGCAGACAAAAGTAATAATTTAGCAGTTATAAAATTCTAATTCTATTGTGTGTGATATATCTAAATAACAAGGAAATTTATACGTCTTTATGCCACTCTGCATTATTATTTTGTCATATATTATATTTCTAATGTTATTAGATTACATAACATTTAAATATCTCTTTATAGAAATTCGTATCCATAATCCCACCTGCGGTCTAGATAACAATGTAACTTTGTAACGAGGTATCTTGAGGTATATAAACTTTATCGCTTGCGAGCTCTATACCTTGTTAAGCTTGCAAAGAACTTTAGCTGAATCAACGTCAGATTACATCTGTATAACTCATAGCATAGATTTAAAAATTACTTTATTATATTTTTCGAAAAACAATATAAATGTCCGAATTTTTTAAATCTAATTAATTAAATCAATTCTATTCAATTAATAAGAATTCTATTAATTCTATTAATTAATAAGAATTAATTAATGATTAATGAATAAAATAACAAAATTATAGCTGAATACAAAAAATATAACTGTTGACATAATTTACATCATTAAAAAAACATAAATTATCTATCTCTAAGTTAATAATTATTTATATTTATCAATTCTTATTATATTTATCTAATCACATAAATTATCTGTCAAATTTATTTTCTAAAAATATTTTTTTTTCTCACATTTATAACATATGCTTCGCGAACATTACATTATTTTTTTAAAAGTAAAATTATGTGACACTCTCATGAATCGATATCGTGTCCTCAGTGATTCATGTTGGCACGATAATCGTGAGCGAGATGCTGGTATCAATTCAACGCACTTCAGAGATGTAGATGCTGCAATCAATTACAGCTTCCGGCGGATAGAGGTAATCTGATCAGATGGCCGCACTTGCACGTGAGTATCAATCCAGCCGAATGACTCGAATATCATGAATGCAATATTAAATATAAATACATTACTCTCCGGAATCGTTCGATTTTTATCTTCTTTTCTCACTTTTACCCTAGCCAAAGTATAGGCGTATCGCGCCAAGTCTCTTTTATCGTGGAAGATTTGATGTACGGTGTCGCAAAACGCATTTAGCAGAGCGCACATTTTCAGAAGTGTGCACCGCACATTTTTTAAATCCCATATATTCACGTAAAGATACGGCCCGGCAGCGTTTCCACGCCTCCTCCTACTGAATTCCTGAAAGTCACGGAAATAATTCAAGCGAAACGCGTACGTGGGACAAAGGGCGACTTTAATTATGTCGCCGATGCAGCCGCATTTCACACGGCGACGTTCACGACCGCCGACAACCGTAATGTTACCGTTGTAACGAGAGATATGCGTCGTTCGGGTGCCAACACGTTCATACGAGCGATGAGACGCGGTTATTATCCGTGGTTGCCTTGTATGTTGATATTGTTGCTTGGCACGGGAAAATGAAAATAAATTTAAAAAAGATATCTCAATATGCGCTTGATGGAATTCTGATAGTCGGTGATGCTGATGCAAAATAATATACGAGACATTTGGTTCAAATAAAATTTGACATTAATTAAATGATTATATTTAAATAAATAAATATAAGTTTTTACAAAGAAAAAATTATTTCAGTTACAAAAAAGCTGTATTTTTCTGCACGCCCTTCTTTATCGTGATGTCATTTATGTATTGTATTTTACGCGCGCGAATATATTTTTTATTAGTAATAATCATATTAGCGTAACTCAACAATGCAGTTGCTAAGTCTCTTTATTAAAATGAATATTACATTCCTATATATTTTTCGAGAAAGATTTTAAATAATTCTTGAGCCGGTATATTTTAACAAAATAGAATTTTGTTGTACTTTATTAATCTGATTTGTGCTTTTATTGCAAATAACTAGCTTTAAAAAAAGATCTCTCATGCATTCATAAGTAACCCTCCATTAAATTTTGCTTGGTCGGTAGCCGTTCTCTCAGCGATGCGAATTCAAGCGATGGCTGATATGCGAAGGAACACAAATGGAGGAACAGGGCGGTTAGGGTGACCCTATCCTTCCGCAGAGGGCCAATCATCGAGTTTACATTGCCGCTTGTGTGCGTGCAAGTCGGCAAGAAGTTTGTGCATGTATGTGTGCACATACGCGAATGTATGTGCAAGCCCTTAGATACACGGATATGAGGAACGTCTGGGTACGTACCATCAGCCACGTTTGCACGTGGCATGACGTGATTGCACGTGGGTATGGGGAGAGGGGGAGGGGTAACTAACCCCGCGTTTACCGCTGGTTATTGAATATAAATCAAGCTATGATCAGTAAGTCATCGCACTGGTATAGGCCTGCCATAAAGTTCGCCTCGTTCGCGGCAAAACAATGTATGAATATACAAACATTTACCAGAATAACTACGAAATGGTTAATTGTCACAAGAGGTCTACAAAAATTAATATTCCAAGTTATAATATATAGATAAATAAAATGTTTTTCCAAGGAGAAATTAAAAATGCATGTATAATATAAGGCAGATTTAATAAAATCTTGTACGTGTCACTAACAACTATTTTCTTTTTTTTTTATCGTAATACACGTTGTGTTGAAAAATATGCGTAACTTCATTTATTAATTAAAATATTAATTTAGATATATTTGTGTATTTTCACAATACATAGTTTAACATCTTTCAATTTCGTGGAAGTAAAATTCACTCAAAAACTTTTAAAAGAAATTTTATTAAATGTAGATATATCTATATATGGGAAGAAGAATTTTACTGAAGTATCTAAAAATTTAATTAAATACAGATCTGAAAATAATTTTGTTTGGACCATCAAAGTAATTATATAAAACATGTAAACTGGTAACTAAAATATTAAAACTTTTTGTTAAACTATCAAAATTAATTTCAGATTTGTATCTACCTATATTTTAAGATATTATAACAAAACCATTTTTCCGTTTTACATATCAATTATAACAGAATTATCAATTTCTTCAAATTTTGTTAGGGAATTTTCGACCTTAAATCTAATGATTTTACTATATTTAATCCTATAAATTCGAAAATTCTGTAAAAAATTTGCTCTGAATATTTAATTAAATATAATGAAAGGATTTGATATCAGGGATGCGTTAAAAACTGGGGACTTGTCGGTGCAGCTCGGTGTGCATAAATGCGCCAACGCAAATTGCATAAAAATCAACGGGGACGTGTGTCACGACCGTGGCTCGCAGCTTTCGACGCCGGGTGGCGCGTATGAAATTAGCGGCGTGTAGACGCGCAAGATGAAAATACGTACACCGCCTGTGGCGTTGCACAACGCGCCAGTTGACTGCGCTTTATCTACTAGCCATGTAAAGTAATTCTATGCATTTTGAAGCGGACACCGCGTTTATCAGTCGGTTGAAGCAAAACGTACCCTTTCCACTTTCGGCGCACTGCACGCGATGACACGCGCGTACATTCTTAACTCAGCGTGACGCGCAATATAATACATAAAACTGCATACATTTACGTACGTAAATGCTGCACATTTATCTATCGGCCCATCACGACAACATTTTTGTCGCGCTGTCTCGCCGTGTCATAATGCAGAAAAATTCTAGGAGACGACATACGGCCGTGAGCTGAGCAGGATTAAAATCTTTAGAAGCTTTATAAATGTATTAAAAAAATTACGGTATATCATTCTACATAAAAAAGTAATAAATAATATAAAATATTTTATTTTTCAAAAAAATAACCTATGTCACATTTAAAAATGATTATTTATTGCAAATAATTTTACATTATTTATTTATTCATGAGATTTACTGATAATGTAATAATTTTTGTATTAAATTTTTGTGAAATATATAACTGTAAACAAAATTTTTTAATTTACATTTTCTCAAAAAAATTTTAAGATATAATTTTATATTTTTTTCATTATTTTTATAGGATAATAATAATTTCATTAAATAAATGTTCTTATAAAAATAATTATAACAGAAATAAAAATTAGAATTACTTACAGAATATTATAGAATATAGAATCTCTTGTATTAAAATAACATGAATATTATATGTTTGAAATATCTTTCTTATAAATAATCAATAACATGTTGATTACGTATAATTTCTTTTTTATAATATTAGGTTATATTATAAAAGTATCAGCACTAAAAAATCAGTAGCGACAAATGATGGCAATTCATATGATATACATATCATCAATGTATTTCATATAAATCATTATCACTTATCTGATGCTGATCTTTTTAAGTGTTGACAATTTTATGAAATAATGACAGGCTTTGCTTGACGAGACCTAATTATAGGAGTATTTGTGATCGATCAAGTCATGTACACTAATTAATCGTGACTGGAAATAATTAATATCAGAGTAAATATACAGTTTGCTCTATCCTGCGGCGAAGGGCGATGACGACAAAGATCGACAAAGGGATTTACAGAACACCCACGACATGTATTCGCGATATGTAATAGCATATGCGACTCAGCTAATTACGTGGTCCAGTCCCTCGTCATGTACGTCATGATATTTGTTCCATGCACAAGATATTACACGAATATGTAGTGCACTTGTGTACCAAATGAGCATGATCATCACAGCATGTGATCAATTCATCGATACTCTGATACTGGTGCAATTCGAAATGCTTCAACTTGGAATTTGAATTTGTAGATTTAAGAAAATAGCAGAAACTGAACATACGAAAAGTTTTTTAAATAAAAATTTGGATCAAAATATAAAACAAAGACGCTTTATCTATATGTATTAAAATGTAATTAAAATGACAAATTTAAATAATTTTGCAGATTTGAAATAAAAACAGATAAAATTATTTATAAGCAAAACATACAAAAGAAGATATTTCTTTTTTTTTTTTTAAGTAACTCCGTCACGTTACAAAAATCTCAC